CAGAAATGCATATTCACACCTCAGAAACTGAACAAGGATGCTTAGATCACTGCCTTTAAACCTCTTGGAAAAGTCATTGAATTTGATATCAGAAAGTGCTGGAAAAGCTGTAATTTGATGTTTAAAATATCCTAAATCAATGTTATATTACTTTGGATGCTAAAGATTGATTTTATTTTATCTTCCAGCCTTCTATCAAGGCTACAGCTTTTGATACTCACAAGTATGGCAACCTTTTGATCAGGTGAGTACTTTTTTTTGTGACCTTTTTCCCACTGACCCCTTTCATTATCATAATTTGGTTGTTTACCATATCTGTTCTGTATAATATCAGTGTCATTCACCTGTTGGTTTTTTTTTTCAAGTCCTGCTCGTGTGATAGTGCTGAAAAAGATGGGTAGCCGCGGTAACGTGGGATGGATCGTTCTACACAATCCTACCAAGGACAAGATTGGCTACAGGGTCAGTATGATGTCCTACAGTCATGAATATTAGTCTGAAACTCTCTGTTTTAGAATGACACGTAACACATTATGTTTATTGTGGAAAAGTCTATAGATGATATATCATCACCTGGGGACTTGTTTGTAACAAAAACACAAAGTTTTAACCAAAGTAAGGGGATGGATCTATTACAGAACATTGTACTCACATTGATTTGGAATTTTTTAAACAGAAAATGTATGGGTGTGCTTATTACCTGACAGGGGCATATTACAATTTATATATATATATTCTTGAGAAAATACTGTAGTGGTAAGTAGTTGGAAATTCATGTTTTTGGGTAGAAATGTTTACTCTGTATTTATGAAGAAAGATATAATTGATAATATGTGTCTGTTTAATATCAGAAACTTATGATAAATTGTGTCACTGTTGTTTGAGTTTAATGTAATACATTGTTGTGTCTAATTTGTGAAAAATGCAATATACTATGAAACCACGCCATCATCAGATGGTGGAATATTCAAATTGATATGTAAGTTCATTTTGGTCCCTATTTGTGCCCATTTCATTTTGGGACTGATCAGAAAAACAAAATGGCTGACAGGCAGTCATCTTGATTTTGACTATGAAAGTTTGTTATTGCTTTTTGTTGAGAAGTATACAGGATGGATGCTCAAATTTCATATGTATGTTCTCCTTAGTCCTAGAGACACAAAATGGCTAACAGATGGCCATCTAGGATTTTGCAGTTAAAGGATTATCGTCATGTTTCTTCAGAGGAATTTTTCAATCTTACATAATTCAGAGCAAAAGCATAGAAAAAAGAAGGGAAAAAGATCCAACTTTTAAAGATAAAATAAAGACCAAGCAATGGTGGGTACCAAGATCCTTGTGGGATTTCTTGTGTCTAACCATTGATTGTGAGAAATGTAAAATATCAAATTTTTGTCTTTTGTTTGTAAGAAATGTAATATGTTGTTGAGCATGTTTGTTGTTTATCAGATTGCTGAGGATTCAGATGCGGCAGACAAGAAATACTATGTGGGACTACTTGATCCTGCAGAATCAAAGGCTTTTGAGTTAAAACCAAGTAAGTGTTAAAAAGTGACCATATTTACTGTTTTTGTCTGAGGAACCTGACATACAACATGAGAACATATACACTTACTAGATTTTGTGAGTTGTGTTTATATAGTAAGTTCTAGAACTTGAGCAAGTCTATCATTATGACAGGTTTGCATGATAACTGTTAACTCAGAGAATAAAAAAAAAAGAGAGAAAAAAAACCTTCCTTATGAATTATAACATCCAGTTACATAGGGATCCTCACTATTGACTTATCTAAGTATGTATGTCAGTCATTTTCTCTATTCATAAACATTTCTCATCTCAGTGTTACCCCTGACATCTAAACACTGTATGAATCAGAACTAGAAATGTCTTTAACATACATGCACAAGCTATTGAAATCATTATTTAATTTATCTTTATAGATTTTCCTACTGTTTCCCATCAAATCATCAACTGGATAGCCTTAGAGAAGTCAAAGACCTACACAAATGAATTCCTGGAAGAACAGTTCAGGGCAGCTGGTCAAAACATATACACACACAGGTAAAGTCAAAACATATACACACACAGGTAAAGTGAAAACGTAAACACACACAGGTAAAGTGAAAACGTAAACACACACAGGTAAAGTGAAAACGTAAACACACACAGGTAAAGTGAAAACGTAAACACACACAGGTAAAGTGAAAATGTAAACACACACAGGTAAAGTGAAAACATAAACACACACACAGGTAAAGTGAAAACGTAAACACACACAGGTAAAGTGAAAATGTAAACACACACAGGTAAAGTGAAAACATAAACACACACACAGGTAAAGTGAAAACGTAAACACACACAGGTAAAGTGAAAACGTAAACACACACAGGTAAAGTGAAAACGTAAACACACACAGGTAAAGTGAAAATGTAAACACACACAGGTAAAGTGAAAACATAAACACACACACAGGTAAAGTGAAAACGTAAACACACACAGGTAAAGTGAAAACGTAAACACACACAGGTAAAGTGAAAACGTAAACACACACAGGTAAAGTGAAAATGTAAACACACACAGGTAAAGTGAAAACATAAACACACACACAGGTAAAGTGAAAACGTAAACACACACAGGTAAAGTGAAAATGTAAACACACACAGGTAAAGAGAAAACGTAAACACACACAGGTAAAGTGAAAACGTAAACACACACAGGTAAAGTGAAAACGTAAACACACACAGGTAAAGTGAAAACGTAAACACACACAGGTAAAGTGAAAACGTAAACACACACAGGTAAAGTGAAAACGTAAACACACACAGGTAAAGTGAAAATGTAAACACACACAGGTAAAGAGAAAACGTAAACACACACAGGTAAAGTGAAAATGTAAACACACACAGGTAAAGTGAAAATGTAAACACACACAGGTAAAGAGAAAACGTAAACACACACAGGTAAAGTGAAAACGTAAACACACACAGGTAAAGTGAAAACGTAAACACACATACAGAAAAGTGAAAACGTAAACACACACAGGTAAAGTGAAAACGTAAAAAACATATACACACACAGGTAAACACACACAGGTAAAGAGAAAACGTAAACACACACAGGTAAAGTGAAAACGTAAACACACATACAGAAAAGTGGAAAAGTATACACACACAGGTAAAGTGAAAACGTAAACACACACAGGTAAAGTGAAAACGTAAACACACACAGGTAAAGTGAAAATGTAAACACACACAGGTAAAGTGAAAACGTAAACACACACAGGTAAAGTGAAAACGTAAACACACATACAGAAAAGTGGAAAAGTATACACACACAGGTAAAGTGAAAACGTAAACACACAGGTAAAGTGAAAACGTAAACACACATACAGAAAAGTGGAAAAGTATACACACACAGGTAAAGTGAAAACGTAAACACACATACAGAAAAGTGGAAAAGTATACACACACAGGTAAAGTGAAAACGTAAACACACACAGGTAAAGTGAAAATGTAAACACACACAGGTAAAGAGAAAACGTAAACACACACAGGTAAAGAGAAAACATATACACACACAGGTAAAGTGAAAACGTAAACACACATACAGAAAAGTGGAAAAGTATACACACACAGGTAAAGTGAAAACGTAAACACACACAGGTAAAGTGAAAATGTAAACACACATACAGAAAAGTGGAAAAGTATACACACACAGGTAAAGTGAAAACGTAAACACACACAGGTAAAGTGAAAATGTAAACACACACAGGTAAAGAGAAAACGTAAACACACACAGGTAAAGAGAAAACATATACACACACAGGTAAAGTGAAAACGTAAACACACATACAGAAAAGTGGAAAAGTATACACACACAGGTAAAGTGAAAACGTAAACACACAGGTAAAGTGAAAACGTAAACACACACAGGTAAAGTGAAAACGTAAACACACATACAGAAAAGTGGAAAAGTATACACACACAGGTAAAGTGAAAACGTAAACACACAGGTAAAGTGAAAACGTAAACACACACAGGTAAAATGAAAACGTAAACACACACAGGTAAAGTGAAAACGTAAACACACACAGGTAAAGTGAAAACGTAAACACACATGCAGAAAAGTGGAAAAGTATACACACACAGGTAAAGTGAAAATGTAAACACACACAGGTAAAGTGAAAACGTAAACACACACAGGTAAAGTGAAAACGTAAACACACACAGGTAAAGTGAAAACGTAAACACACACAGGTAAAGTGAAAACGTAAACACACATACAGAAAAGTGGAAAAGTATACACACACAGGTAAAGTGAAAACGTAAACACACAGGTAAAGTGAAAACGTAAACACACACAGGTAAAATGAAAACGTAAACACACATACAGAAAAGTGAAAAAGTATACCACATAGAAAAAGTGGAAACATATACACTCACAGGTAAAGTGAAAATGTAAACACACACAGGTAAAGTGAAAAAGTATACACACATACAGAAAAAGTGGAAAAGTAAACACACACATTATATTACACATCACACAGAGCTAAGGGCAGCAGATTATCAACAACTTCATGTAAGGTGGGCACATCATCAACACACAGGTAAGGTGAACAAATTATCAAAACACATAGGTAAGATGAACAGATCATCAGCACACACAACTAATGTGCACACACTACCAAAACACACAGGTAAGGTGAACACCTACCAAAACATACAGGTAAGGTGAACACACTACCAAAACATACAGGTAAGGTGAACACACTACCAAAACATACAGGTAAGGTGAACACACTACCAAAACATACAGGTAAGGTGAACACACTACCAAAACATACAGGTAAGGTGAACACACTACCAAAACATACAGGTAAGGTGAATACACTACCAAAACATACAGGTAAGGTGAACACACTACCAAAACACACAGGTAAGGTGAACACACTACCAAAACATACAGGAAACGTGAACACACTACTAAAACATACAAGTAAGGTGAACACATTACCAAAACATACAGGTAAGGTGAACACACTACCAAAACATACAGGAAAGGTGAACACACTACCAAAACATACAGGTAAGGTGAACAGGAAACTTAACAGTGTTACTCAAGTAGGAGCAGTGCTGCATTTATATCAACTTATATCTAAGATGATAGTGATTTAGAGTTTTATGTTTTATCAGATTACAAATGAAGAATCTGGCTGCCTCATCAGATCTGAATGTAGAAGAATTAAGTCTGGTGAAAGATGAACCAAAACCCAAAAGCAAGGTAATAGAATGTTACAGACTTTAAATTGTAACAGCCATGACTTAAATCTTAGATACAATTGTTGTAGTCATAACTTATCAAAACTTGATTTAAGTTGGGACTGGTCCTGTTGGATCATAATGTAAGAGAATATATACTTAAATGTTGTACCCAGTATGATATTATAAATTGTAAGAGATAATTTCTGCTTTGTTTACTCTGTAGAATAAAGTTTGTCTGGAAGTGTACAAAAATCAAACCTTGGTTGAAAAATACTGGCTCAACCTTGGATCGTATCGACTGGAGTTGCCCTCAGTAGACAAGATCGGCCATTGCCTGGTCAAGTGTCCAAAATGTCCAGTAAGTATATATAATGGAAATGGTGACAAAATTTCTTTTCTTTTTATCCTGGACAGGTTTATCCTCTCATTTACTGATGTGGAATTTCCTTGTCTCACCGTTAAGATTAAGAGATTATGGCATCGCAGTAATCACTCAATGTGGTCACTATTCACATCGACATTAAACGCTGCGGGTAGCAGACTGTAAATTGTCAGCAATTGATAATGCCAAATTACCCACACTTAATTAACATTGATTTAGTTTGATTTTTTCATATTTTGCTGTCATACTATATACTATGCTCATACTAGCTGACACAATTTGAGGCCCCAACTCTGTATTACAAGTGATCAGTTTAGATGGACCATGGGATGTCGGCATGTGTATTGTCAAAGAGCAACATTGTTTTACTTCTAATTTTAATTAGATAATCACATCAATACTGTCCGAATAATTGTATGAGTTACAGAGATTTGATAAAAAGAAACATTAATCCATAGTCATATTAAGTCTCAATCTACCCTCTACTCACTGATATGTCAACGCTAACTTCTGCCAATACAACAGTTAATTGGTAATATGTCCTACAGTACAGTAAACATTTCAAAAGATAATCATATTAAAATCGTCTTTTTTTTCCCCAAAAAATGTCATCACTGGTGGAAGTTTCCTGCCTTGGTAGGACACTGTTAAACACTCTGGTGTAATTTTATGCAATGTCAACTCTGATAGTTTCAACTACATTTATTTCATGTGCATAATTTGGTATAATTGAACATTTTCAACAATATTTATTTGATTTTGTTTGGACTGACCAACGGTTTGCCATATTTATGAAATTACAAACCAATGTTTTTTCATTGCCTTGTAATAAGCCCACCAAATAACTTTGAGAGAGGTCATGTGTTGAGCTCATGAACTTATTGAAGGCAAGTACAGTATGTAATGAAAACTTAAGTGCGATGCCTTGTTGTTACAAGGTCATGAGGTCATGTGTTGACCTTATGGACTTATTGAAGGCAAGTACAGTATGTAATGAAAAATAAAATGGGATGCCTTGTTGTTACAGAGTTTCTTGTATCCTTCGACTTTCCAAAAGGGGATGAAGATTGTAGTGAAGATTGGCAAGTAAGTTACACTAAAATATAGGACATTTTCACACATGGACAAGTAAGTTACACTTAAAAATAGGACATTTTCACACATGGACAAGTAAGTTACACTTAAAAATAGGACATTTTCACACATGGACAAGTAGTTACACTAAAATATAGGACATTTTCACACATGGACAAGTAAGTTACACTTAAAAATAGGACATTTTCACACATGGACAAGTAAGTTACACTTAAAAATAGGACATTTTCACTCATGGACAAGTAAGTTACACTTAAAAATAGGACATTTTCACACATGGACAAGTAAGTTACACTTAAAAATAGGACATTTTCACTCATGGACAAGTAAGTTACACTTAAAAATAGGACATTTTCACACATGGACAAGTAAGTTACACTTAAAAATAGGACATTTTCACACATGGACAAGTAAGTTACACTTAAAAATAGGACATTTTCACACATGGACAAGTAAGTTACACTTAAAAATAGGACATTTTCACACATGGACAAGTAGTTACACTTAAAAATAGGACATTTTCACACATGGACAAGTAAGTTACACTTAAAAATAGGACATTTTCACACATGGACAAGTAAGTTACACTTAAAAATAGGACATTTTCACACATGGACAAGTAAGTTACACTTAAAAATAGGACATTTTCACACATGGACAAGTAAGTTACACTTAAAAATAGGACATTTTCACACATGGACAAGTAAGTTACACTTAAAAATAGGACATTTTCACACTTGGACAAGTAAGTTACACTTAAAAATAGGACATTTTCACACATGGACAAGTAAGTTACACTTAAAAATAGGACATTTTCACACATGGACAAGTAAGTTACACTTAAAAATAGGACATTTTCACACATGGACAAGTAAGTTACACTTAAAAATAGGACATTTTCACATTTTCACACATGGACAAGTAAGTTACACTTAAAAATAGGACATTTTCACACATGGACAAGTAAGTTACACTTAAAAATAGGACATTTTCACACATGGACAAGTAAGTTACACTTAAAAATAGGACATTTTCACACATGGACAAGTAAGTTACACTTAAAAATAGGACATTTTCACACATGGACAAGTAAGTTACACTAAAAATAAAACATGGACAAGTAAGTTACATTAAAAATAGGACATTTTCACACATGGACAAGTAAGTTACAAGTAAGTTACACTTAAAAATAGGACATTTTCACACATGGACAAGTAAGTTACACTTAAAAATAGGACATTTTCACACATGGACAAGTAAGTTACACTTAAAAATAGGACATTTTCACACATGGACAAGTAAGTTACACTTAAAAATAGGACATTTTCACACATGGACAAGTAAGTTACACTTAAAAATAGGACATTTTCACACATGGACAAGTAAGTTACACTTAAAAATAGGACATTTTCACACATGGACAAGTAAGTTACACTTAAAAATAGGACATTTTCACACATGGACAAGTAAGTTACACTTAAAAATAGGACATTTTCACACATGGACAAGTAAGTTACACTTAAAAATAGGACATTTTCACACATGGACAAGTAGTTACACTAAAATATAGGACATTTTCACTCATGGACAAGTAAGTTACACTTAAAAATAGGACATTTTCACTCATGGACAAGTAAGTTACACTTAAAAATAGGACATTTTCACACATGGACAAGTAAGTTACACTTAAAAATAGGACATTTTCACACATGGACAAGTAAGTTACACTTAAAAATAGGACATTTTCACACATGGACAAGTAGTAGTTACACTAAAAAATAGGACATTTTCACACATGGAAAGTAGTTACACTTAAAAATAGGACATTTTCACACATGGACAAGTAAGTTACACTTAAAAATAGGACATTTTCACACATGGACAAGTAGTTACACTTAAAAATAGGACATTTTCACACATGGACAAGTAAGTTACACTTAAAAATAGGACATTTTCACACATGGACAAGTAGTTACACTAAAATATAGGACATTTTCACACATGGACAAGTAAGTTACACTTAAAAATAGGACATTTTCACACTTGGACAAGTAGTTACACTAAAATATAGGACATTTTCACACATGGACAAGTAAGTTACACTAAAATATAGGACATTTTCACACATGGACAAGTAAGTTACACTTAAAAATAGGACATTTTCACACATGGACAAGTAAGTTACACTTAAAAATAGGACATTTTCACACATGGACAAGTAAGTTACACTTAAAAATAGGACATTTTCACACATGGACAAGTAAGTTACACTAAAATATAGGACATTTTCACACATGGACAAGTAAGTTACACTTAAAAATAGGACATTTTCACACATGGACAAGTAAGTTACACTTAAAAATAGGACATTTTCACTCATGGACAAGTAAGTTACACTTAAAAATAGCCACTTTTAAGAGTTAAATACAAATGGATATTTTAATACCTGCATTGGTAATTGTAATCTGCTCACAGTCAAAGAACCAGATAACAAAAGGATTTTTTTTTAACTTTCAATAATGTCTATTTATAGCTGGTTTTATGTTTCGCCATTTTATGACGAGTATACATTGTAACTCTATGTCAGGTGTTTTTCCTGTCACATTCTAAATCAATGTCATATCCTAAAAGCCCCTAAACAGATTTGGTTTATATCTATCCTTATAGTTTCATAACACCAAATTCTACACCTTAATCAGATTGAGGTGGTCATTGTTCAAGGTTTAAAGGTCAAAGGTTACATTTGACATTAAAGCAGTTATACCAAACAATGTTCCTTATATGGATGTGACCTTGAATCTTCATGTCTTATATTTTCTGTTTTATTTATACTGCATTAATTAGTCTCAACTGATTGACAAAGTACGTCATGAAAAATCTGACCTATGAACTTTCAGTGACCTTGCTGAAGCTGTGATTACGGAGATGTTTGAGGGCGGTGGTTACTGTATGGACTACATGCCGGAAGGCAAAAATGAACTGGAGACATTGTGCTTCCAAGAAAATTCTACGCTAGGAATCAGTAGCTCTGAATGGCAAGATGATGCCAACGTTCTTTTACTGAAACTGGACTGTAAGTCACTTTTAACTGTAACTGTTCTTATATTCTGGTAAAGTGATTTGATTCTTGAATTTTTTTTGGACAGTACATATTTATATGATCCAGCCATTTAATTGGAGGACAATAGTGTAGCCCAAATCTATTATTTCCTTCCTGTTGCTTCCTGTCCCATTCCAAAGCAGTGTCATATCTTTAGAACCTCTCAACATATTTTGATTCACATATTTACCCCATAGTATTATAACATCGGTTTCTATACCTGATCAGATTTTGGTTTGGTCAGTAAGCGAAAGAGACATTTTTGTCTTAAAGATATTTTCCAGTTTTCATTTAACAGGAGTTGTCATATAATTATTGTCTATAAAGCAAAAAAAAAAGTAATTTATGAATATAAACACTGTCAATTTTTTTTTAAGCATTATCAATAAAGTAGAAAATTAGTAATCTATGAATACAAACACTGCCAATATTTTTTATCCACAGCTGACAAAATTCACCTGAACAAAACCTTCATTCCGGCACCACCTTTTCTTTCCTCTCCGGTAAGATTTCACATTATTTTTATATTTACTTCAGTACCATGGTGCTATTTGACATTTGTAGCCATAGCTTACCTCGGCTGTTTCATACAAAATGATTTGACCTTGATATTTTGACATAGAAATACAAATGATGAAGGATGACAGTATTTTTAACTTTTACCCTGTTTGAGCCTCAAACTCACAATCTACGACACGCAATATATATGAGAACTACCTGACACCACAACACCACACCAACATCCCTAATGAAGAATATTTCTTAATTGTAGTATTGGACAAAGCATATTCATAATATGTGTATACCTGGATACAATATACCTGGGTTCTAATTGCACAGTATGTGTATTGTTATAATGATTCTGTTCCACAAGTATACAGTGTGTTTGTCCTCAGTATTGAAATGTAATAACATTGTCAGTAGAACAAATGTATATGTCTGATGATCAAACATTTTGCAATATATTTTTTACAGGGAAGTGCCAAAGCATTGGTTTCCCTTGATCCAGACTGGTCCATCAATACTCTACTCAGATTTAGTAGCTGTAGTCAGGTTCTCACTCGTGTCACAGGTAAAATTATAATATTATATAGTCATGAATTCTCTACTCAGATTTAGTAGCTGTAGTCAGGTTCTCACTCGTGTCACAGGTAAAATTATAATATTATATAGCCATGAATTCTCTACTCAGATTTAGTAGCTGTAGTCAGGTTCTCACTCGTGTCACAGGTAAAATTATAATATTATATAGTCATGAATTCTCTACTCAGATTTAGTAGCTGTAGTCAGGTTCTCACTCGTGTCACAGGTAAAATTATAATATTATATAGCCATGAATTCTCTACTCAGATTTAGTAGCTGTAGTCAGGTTCTCACTCGTGTCACAGGTAAAATTATAATATTATATAGCCATGAATTCTCTACTCAGATTTAGTAGCTGTAGTCAGGTTCTCACTTGTGTCACAGGTAAAATTATAATATTATATATTCATGAATTCTCTACTCAGATTTAGTAGCTGTAGTCAGGTTCTCACTTTTGTCACAGGTAAAATTATAATATTATATAGTCATGAATTCTCTACTCAGATTTAGTAGCTGTAGTCAGGTTCTCACTTTTGTCACAGGTAAAATTATAATATTATATAGTCATGAATTCTCTACTCAGATTTAGTAGCTGTAGTCAGGTTCTCACTCGTGTCACAGGTAAAATTGTAATATTATATAGCCATGAATTCTCTACTCAGATTTAGTAGCTGTAGCCAGGTTCTCACTTGTGTCACAGGTAAAATTATAATATTATAAATTCATGAATTCTCTACTCAGATTTAGTAGCTGTAGTCAGGTTCTCACTCATGTCACAGGTAAAATTATAATATTATATAGCCATGAATTCTCTACTCAGATTTAGTAGCTGTAGTCAGGTTCTCACTCGTGTCACAGGTAAAATTATAATATTATAAATTCATGAATTCTCTACTCAGATTTAGTAGCTGTAGTCAGGTTCTCACTTGTGTCACAGGTAAAATTATAATATTATATAGCCATGAATTCTGATTTAGTAGCTGTAGTGTTCTCACTCGTGTCACAGGTAAAATTATAATATTATAAATTCATGAATTCTCTACTCAGATTTAGTAGCTGTAGTCAGGTTCTCACTAGTGTCACAGGTAAAATTATAATATTATATAGCCATGAATTCTCTACTCAGATAGTAGCTGTAGTAAGGTTCTCATCGTGTCACAGGTAAAATTATAATATTATAAATTCATGTCAGATTTAGTAGCTGTAGTCAGGTTCTCATTGTGTCACATAAAATTATTTTATATAGCCATGAAGTCTACTCAGATTTAGTAGCTGTAGTCAGGTTCTCACTCGTGTCACAGGTAAAATTATAATATTATAAATTCATGAATTCTCTACTCAGATTTAGTAGCTGTAGTCAGGTTCTCACTCGTGTCACAGGTAAAATTATAATATTATATAGCCAAATTCAGATTTAGTAGCTGTAGTCAGGTTCTCACTCGTGTCACAGGTAAAATTATAATATTATATAGTCATGAATTCTCTACTCAGATTTAGTAGCTGTAGTCAGGTTCTCACTCGTGTCACAGGTAAAATTATAATATTATATAGTCATGAATTCTCTACTCAGATTTAGTAGCTGTAGTCAGGTTCTCACTCGTGTCACAGGTAAAATTATAATATTATATAGCCATGAATTCTCTACTCAGATTTAGTAGCTGTAGTCAGGTTCTCACTTGTGTCACAGGTAAAATTATAATATTATATAGCCATGAATTCTCTACTCAGATTTAGTAGCTGTAGTCAGGTTCTCACTCGTGTCACAGGTAAAATTATAATATTATATAGTCATTTCATATTTTCATTCCACTTTTAAACAGGAATAAGCTCACCAGATTGTTATAATTCTTTCATTAATTTCCTTACAATTTCCTAATAATTGATAGATAAATAATTATGTGTTTTCCAGTACAAGAACAGTTACTGACCTATCAGTCCCGAACCCTTGAAGACTGGCTGGAGGGATATAGCTTTAACAGTCATGTTGACTCATCATTTGCCTTTCTACCACGAGAACTGGATGCTAGGAGCCTCATGTTTCCTCGTTTTGACTCCATATTTGATGATGTGGTTGTACACAGACTCTGCTTCTCTGCAGGTATGTTCCTAGCATATAAACAGTCATCGTTTATGTAAAATAAGCAAATATATTGTGCAAGACACTAATATCTCACCCTGCTCGAAATCAGCATTTTTATCGGCTAAAATCTTTCAGTGTAATGCTGTAGTTTGTTAATTTGTCATTGTTAATTAGTGGAGTTCTGCGAGCTATATAAACTCAGTTTAGATTTCTCAAACCCAAACATATTGACTGATCTTTGCAATTTAGATATTGAGGAAGACAAAAATAGGTTACCAGAGCATATGTGAAAAACATAAGTTAAAAAAGAAACTATTACAAAGCTTCATTTCATCATGTCTTAAGTCCAACATACCTTTGATTTTCATTACTCGTAACTGACTTTTGTAGTTTTCCTATTTTAAGAACTGACCATTCCTATTTTAACAACTGACCATTCCTACCCAAGCTTTAGTGGTATCATTTTGTGGTCACTTCCTTTTTTTTACAGACCAGTTCCGTCATTTCCAGCCCACTCACAAGTTGAAGTTGAATGTTCCAATCCATTTTGTGGATATTCCTGGATTTGTTCCTTCGGAGAGCATCTCCGCAGACCTGTCCTATGGTTGTTTGTTCCAGGGATGGGTTTATATTGCTCTGTTGGCCCAAAGACTCCAGCTGCCAATATACAAAAATTTGTTTCAAGGAGATCTGTCAGGTCTGAAAAGGGAAGAGGTTAGTGGTAGATTAAATGTGACTTTTCCATGTCTGGGTTAACACACTGCCATGTGAAAGAGAACTGGGCTCCAAATAGGTCTTTGTCACCAACATATTACTTTTATTAATACTTGATATGCTTCCACAATAATCAGTGAAGTTTGGATAATTAGTGTTGCTGTCTCTGTTAAATACATTTATCAGTAATGTCTGGGCCATTCATCACATTCTTTATTGTAAAGGCTGATCTGGTTAGGGAGTTTAAAATTGACACAATTTTCTTTTATGTAAATGAGAGAAAATACATTCAAATTACCTGAGACCTGGTGTTAGAGAAAATACATTCAAATTACCTGATACCTGGTGTTAGAGGAAATACATTCAAATTACCTGATACCTGGTGTTAGAGAAAATACATTCAAATTACCTGATACCTGGTGTTAGAGAAAATACATTCAAATTACCTGATACCTGGTGTTAGAGAAAATACATTCAAATTACCTGATACCTGGTGTTAGAGAAAATACATTCAAATTACCTGAGACCTGGTGTTAGAGAAAATACATTCAAATTACCTGATACCTGGTGTTAGAGAAAATACATTCAAATTACCTGATAGCTGGTGTTAGAGAAAATACATTCAAATTACCTGATACCTGGTGTTAGAGAAAATACATTCAAATAACCTGATACCTGGTGTTAGAGAAAATACATTCAAATAACCTGATACCTGGCGGTCAATCTAAAAGTTAAGTTGATTTAACTTTAATCAATCTGAGAATGATATTTTAAAGAAATTTAAAGTTTTTTTAACTGTTTTTTTTTTGCTGGAAATACTTATCTTTGGGAACAATTTTTCAAATATTTGTGATAATTGAAATATATTCTTACTGCTTTTACAATTGTGATCATGAATAAAAAAAGCTTTTTGTCGACATTGAATTTCCTAAGTTTAAAATGGGAATCATTACCTCATTTGTGAGAATTTCTAGTAAGTATCTGACATTTTGTTTATAGATAGAGAGTCTGCTGTATCGCCTTGTACAGCCCTACGCATCCCTGTGTGGCATTTATGCCAGTCAAGTGGGAGGTTTACCCAACCAAGAAAACCCTGTCAATGGATCAGAGAAAATTACTACACTCATCAAAGGGCAGGACACTCCTTACCTACAGAAATTTAAAAATGAACCTTCATCCGATGCAGAAAAACTCGTTAAACACCAGAGAAATTACACCTGTAAAGCTCACAACCTGTCCATCAATGGTAGCCAATCCATGTTCCCAAAAAACACACAGCTCAAATATGAATACTTTGAGCCATACAATGGATTGGTAAATGCCTTTTCCTGGGATTTCCCTGAATTGCCATCTCTTCCAAAGGACTTCTTTTCCAAGTTCTCAAACCTGGAGTGCTTGTTTTTGGCTCAGTGTAAATTATCTGAAAATCCAGTCATTCCTTCAGGCATTGTCAATTGTACTTCCTTAGAAAATGTCTCACTGCGAAGTCTTGGGGTTTCCAAGCTCCCAGCAGACCTTCTCAATGGCCCTGCCCTCAAGTCAGTAACCTGCTCAAACATGGTGGTGAAAGAGATTAAGTTTGATTGGCCTGATAACAGTCGTCTGACAAAGTTGATTCTTTCTGGATTGGTCCTTACCAGCTTGCCAACTGGAATCTCAAGTCTTAAGTCACTGAAGGAACTCATCCTAGACAACAATATTCTCACCAGCCTACCAGCAACTCTCAAGGACTTGCCCAAACTCAAGGTTCTGTCCCTCAAAGGTAAGTCACTCACTTAAGACAGGGCCTTTCTTTAAAGGTAAGACACTTGCCTGCAAGATGTCCTTCCCTTCAAAGGAAGGTCATTTTGCCTATTAGGCATCTCCTCCTTCAAAGTTATGTCACATGTCAATGACATGTTTCCTGCTTTACTTGCCAATGACACATCTCCTTTAGAGGTAGGTCACTTGCCTATGACACATCTCCTTTAGAGGTAGGTCACTTGCCTATGACACATCTCCTTTAGAGGTAGGTCACTTGCCTATGACACATCTCCTTTAGAGGTAGGTCACTTGCCTATGACACATCTCCTTTAGAGGTAGGTCACTTGCCTATGACACATCTCCTTTAGAGGTCACTTGCCTATGACACATCTCCTTTAGAGGTAGGTCACTTGCCTATGACACATCTCCTTTAGAGGTAGATCACTTGCCTATGACACATCTCCATCTAAGGTAGATCACTTGCCTATGACACATCTCGTTTAGAGGTAGACCACTTGCCTATGACACATTTCCTTCTAAGGTAGATCACTTGCCTATGACACATCTCGTTTAGAGGTAGACCACTTGCCTATGACACATCTCCTTCTAAGGTAGATCACTTGCCTATGACACATCTCCTTCTAAGGTAGATCACTTGCCTATGACACATCTCCATCTAAGGTAGATCACTTGCCTATGACATGTTCCCTCCTTTACTTGCCTGTGACACATCCTTTCCTTCAATTAGGTTGGTCAGTTGGTGAAAAAAAATCTCTTCCAAATAGGTCATCATAATTTACTAGTTCTCTCCCTTTAAGTTATGACTGTGGTGTTACTTTTTTCCTGGGGCATTAGGATATTTTTGAAGAAACAATTTCTAATGATTCTACAACAAATAGTATAACTTAATCCTTTTGATCTCATGTTGATGTAGAATAAGGTCTGAATCTTCTATTCTTTGTTGAAGGAATTCCTTGGGTTACATTTGAGGGAGCAAGGACAAAGATCACCAGAAAGCAATATGAGAGTTGGCTTGACGAAAACAAGAGTGTCTGCCATGTTTTAGGGGAAAAGGCAAGTAGTACAATCAACACATTTAGACATCAAAATTTACATGTACAGGTTTAACTTGAAGTTTGGTATGTATGCAGTCCGCTACAAATAATTCCTAGTTGTCATTTGTGACATGGCAATTCAAATAATTAGTCAAATGTTTGACAAAGTATTGGAAAATATAACAAAATAATTTTGTGAACATTGTATTCAAAAACTAGGGAAAGGATAATTTTAAAACTTTGAGGTTAGACTCACTATGAGTCAAAGGTGCACAACTCTATAACCATCAAAGGCCATTGTGAATTTTGACAGTTGATGTCTTTTTTCTTTTTTTTTTTTAATAATTAATGATCAAGAACTACCGAAGAGGTCTCTTCAAACTTTAGAGCTTTTATGTTTTCATTATCACATTGTAGTCCATGTGATATTATGAATTTGAAGAAATATTTGGTCGAGTGGATAATGTATATATGTATGTACGCTATCTGTGGAGAAACATACACTAAATATGTGGGAGTCAACTGTTCAAATTTCCTCTACACATATGAATTTGTGATGAATTATATTCATATCACAGTATATATTAGATACCTTGACTGCAGTAGATCAATATAATCTCAAATATCTGCTCTGGATTTTTTTTCGGAAATCATTATGATGTATTTCAGATTTTGACTGAGATTGTAATTATAAATCTACAGATTTTTCCACCTTTATTAATATAGCAATGAGTCAGCCAAAATATGTCTATGTGTATTATCACATCCTTTGTCAGTTATTAAAATAATTATCTATTTTTTATGTAAAATGTTAAATGTTTGTAGTATTTTTTAGATTTGTATCTTAAGCAAATACAGTGGTGTTCATATTGTATTATTGATTATAAGTAGAAAAGTGACGAAAAAAAGTAGATTTTGGCATTTCTATTGAAAAAATAGTCATACTTATTAATATGTCAAGTTAATGTATTTAAGTAAGATTCAGATAGAATGATCAGAATGATAATGGTAACCAGCCTTGTAGAATCGTACTACAGACATCTCTATACAGACCAAACTAACCATTTTATTGCTGATTTTCTTCAGGAAGTCAATGATTACTTCAACAAATACGACGTAAACAAGAACAACGAACTTGATGAACAAGAAATTGCTCACCTCAACCTCTACCTCTTTTTCAAAATTCCACGCCTAAAAAACAAAAGTGAGTATATATAGTTGTTCCTTCTGACTTGCTATCTGGAACATGATACCATATGTATCTACATGTTCACAGACTTTAATTTTGATGAGTCACAAATACATGACACTTCAGCAGGAAAGAGGCTATAGGGGCTGCTTTTATTGTCACATCAATCAATTTGATTTTCCGGGATAATTTTCATTTCTTTCAATAAAACAACAGTATTTAAGGAATATATTATAATTCATTGTAGTGGGAATGGAGGAATTTGGAGGGATACCCTGGGTTATGTTTGACAAAGTACGTTATAATTTGTTGTAGTGGGGACAATTGAGTTTGAAGGGATACCTCTGACTGACAAAGTATGTTATAATTTGTTGTAGTGGGGACAAATGAGTTTGAAGGGATACCTCTGACTGACAAAGTATGTTATAATTTGTTGTAGTGGGGACAAATGAGTTTGAAGGGATACCTCTGACTGACAAAGTACGTTATAATTTGTTGTAGCAATGACAGAGGAGTTTGAAGGTTCACCTCGGCTGTGTTTGACTTAATATATAATGTATCTTATTACAGGGGGAACAGATGAGTTTGGAGGGTCACCTCTGATTGTCTTTGACTTAATATATAATGTATTTTATTACAGCGGGAACAGATGAGTTTGGAGGTTCACCTCTGATTGTCTTTGACTTAATATATAATGTATTTTATTACAGCGGGAACAGATGAGTTTGGACGGTCACTTTTGATCGTCTTTGACTTAATATATAATGTATCTTATTACAGCTGGAACAGATGAGTTTGGACAGTCACTTTTGATCGTCTTTGACTTAATATATAATGTATCTTATTACAGCTGGAACAGATGAGTTTGAACAGTCACTTTTGATTGTCTTTGACTTAATATATAATGTATTTTATTACAACGGGAACAGATGAGTTTGGAGGAATACCTCCAGTTGTATTTGACCTCATGAACCTCCAGGAACTCTACCTGAATAATCAGGCTATCACAATGGTCCCTAAGCAGCTTAGTCAGCTACAAAATCTGCAGATTCTTGACCTTAGTCATTGTCCTCTGCTGGAGAGTATTGAAGGTTCAGTTGGCCTCATTCCCAACCTCAAATGTAAGTCAAATATATATCACATCACAAAGTCAAATGGGTGAGTGACGCGACAAACAATTATATAGATAATACTTTTCATGATGGAAAAAATGAACCTTTTAATATGACAGCAAATCATTATTTGCACTACCTGTTTATTTCATTTTGTGCATGTTGTTTTCATGTACTGGAACTTATGTGTCCATATTTGATAATTATATTGAGGACTGTTGTAAAGTGTCTTTGAGATGGCAAGTTTTTACAATCTCCATGAACAGTGACAAGTGTATAAGACATATCTATATTGTATATATATTATATATGTTCAATATTTGACCTGTTTTCTACATAAGCTATAATCAGAGCATTAGTAAGTATCCTATATTTGGAACAGAGCTTGATTGGATATTCAAGATAGTATTAAATATTTAGTCAGTATGCTTTTTTTTCTTCTTCTGAATGTTTGGTGTTTTGCAAATTAGCTAGGAGCATTGTCATTGAATAGGCTTTATAAATATAAATATAGATGAGATGAAGTTTCCAAGTGAAGTGAGAAAGGGAAATGAACCAGTTCAATTTCAGTTGTAAACATTTTTTGACAGTCAATAAGTTTTGACATCAGACTTAAATGAATCAGTTAGCAGATCTCATTAGGATCAATGAAATTGATAACATATTTTGTCTGATTTCTAAATTAGTCATGTTTCTTTGATAGCAATTCGTCTTACCAGCTGTCCATCACTTCGGACTCCTCCCAATGAGGTGGTCAGTCGAGGATTTGAGTCTGTGAGGGCTTATCTCAAACGACTTGCAGGAGGCTTCACCGAATGTCGTAGGACGAAGCTCATGTTTGTTGGTTTAGGAGGAGCAGGAAAAACCAGGTACACAAAGAGGATACTGTGTTCACAAAACTAATATTTAAGTAGCCAAGTAGCAACAGAAGTTACTATAATATTTTTTTATCTTGCTCTTGTATAGTATAGCTATTTATATGTTTCGAAGATGAAATGTGAATACTGTTTGTCTGTTGGCAGCTTGCTACAAGCCCTGATGAGTGTAAACAAGAAAACAACAGGAACTCAGAATGCTCAGCTGACAGATGGAATTGAGATCAAACCCTGGACAGTGAAGACAGATGAGGGTTTAGATATCACCTATAGTACCTGGGACTTTGCTGGACAGACTGTGTACTACAACACACATCAGGTAGTGTCTTCTGTCCCCCACTAAAGGGTGAACATCCACATCAGGTAGTGCCCTCAATACCTCAATATAAGTGTAGGCTACCATGCACGTAGTGTCCTCAATACCTCACTGTAAAGGTAGACTACCACATCAGGTAGTGCCCTCATTACCTGACTCTAAAGGTAGACTACCACATCAGGTGGTGTCCTCATAACCTCACTGTAAAGGTAGACTACCACATCAGGTAGTGTCTTTATTACCTGACTGTAAAGGTAGACTACCACATCAGGTAGTGCCCTCATTAGCTCACTATAAAGATAGACTACCACATCAGCTAGTGCCCTCATTACCTCACTGTAAAGGTAGACTACCACATCAGGTAGTGCCCTCATTACCTCACTGTAAAGGTAGACTACCACATCAGGTAGTGCCCTCATTACCTCACTGTAAAGGTAGACTACCACATCAGGTAGTGCCCTCATTACCTCACTGTAAAGGTAGACTACCACATCAGGTAGTGTCCTCAATACGTCACTGCAAATGTAGATTACCACATCAGGTAGTGTCTTCATCACCTGACTGTAAAGGTAGACTACCACATCAGGTAGTGCCCTCATTACCTCACTATAAAGGTAGACTACCACATCAGCTAGTGCCCTCATTACCTCACTGTAAAGGTAGACTACCACATCAGGTAGTGCCCTCATTACCTCACTGTAAAGGTAGACTACCACATCAGGTAGTACCCTCATTAGCTCACTATAAAGGTAGACTACCACATCAGCTAGTGCCCTCATTACCTCACTATAAAGGTAGACTACCACATCAGGTAGTGCCCTCATTACCTCACTATAAAGGTAGACTACCACATCAGGTAGTGCCCTCATTACCTCACTGTAAATGTAGACTACCACATCAGGTAGTGCCCTCATTACCTCACTGTAAATGTAGACTACCACATCAGGTAGTGCCCTCATTACCTCACTGTAAATGTAGACTACCACATCAGCTAGTGCCCTCATTACCTCACTGTAAATGTAGACTACCACATCAGGTAGTGCCCTCATTACCTCACTGTAAATGTAGACTACCACATCAGCTAGTGCCCTCATTACCTCACTGTAAATGTAGACTACCACATCAGGTAGTGCCCTCATTACCTCACTGTAAAGGTAGACTACCACATCAGCTAGTGCCCTCTTGACTACATTAAGAGAATACATCAACACCAAGGTTAGAAAACTGTCAGGTAACCACTTTCTGTATGCAACATCATTCAAGATACCAACAGTTCTGGAATTTTCCAGAATTAAGTAATAGTTAACTGACAATGAATCATTACATAATAGTTAATTGACAATGAATCATTAAATAATAGTTAATTGATATTGAATCATTTAACAGCAATTGAACATCTGTGGTACATTTTTTCCAGTTCTTCCTGTCTAATCGTGCTGTGTATATGCTGTTGTGGAACATGCGTATGGGATTTGAGCATGCTGGTCTTGATTTCTGGCTGAGCTCCATAGCCTGTCATGCACCTAAGACACCAATCATAGTCGTAGGAACCCAGTGTGACCAGGTAACTATATACACCATCCTAGACATCCATCATAGTCGTAGGAACCCAGTGTGGCCAGGTAATTATATACACCATCCCAGACACCCATCATAGTCGTAGGAACCCAGTGTGACCAGGTAATTATATACACCACCCTAGACACCCATCATAGTCGTAGGAACCCAGTGTGAGTCAGTGTTATGGTAACAACTGCCTGACAAGGTCATTGTAGCATATTAACAAGGATACCTGTCAAGGTTATGAAGACAAAATTGTTGATATTGAATGGTTACAGGTGAATGTACCTGTAAAAGTTCTTTAACTATAAATTCAATATTGCTTTAATATTTGTTAGAATAATTTTTTTATTTCACTTTTTATAGGTTCCCAAGGTGGACATTCCAGAAAATGACCTTAGAAAACGTTATCCTCAGATCACCACCTTTCACTATGTTAGCTCCATCAAGGGCACAGTAAGTATATCTCACAGTGTTACATGTAGTTGGTCAATAGGCTATCTAGAAACAACTTCTTCTCAAGACTTGTAAATGTTGGAGTCATATTTGTATAGTGATTTGGAATTATCTATTAATTATGATATATCCTGATATGTTTGGTCCAGTGATAGATAAATTTTGAAAAATTATTGTAATTTTTAAGGTCAAAGGTTATGATGTTAATTGCAGTTAAATTAAAATATTGTCATATTTATTACAAAAAGATTCATCATTCTCTATGTAGGGTCATTTTTTAAGTCTGAATAATTATTTTCTATACATAAAATGATTATATTTGTAAACTTTGTGTTTTTAGGGAATTGCTGATCTTGAGAAACAGCTTATCTCTAGCACACTAAGCCAGAAGTACATGGGGGAAAAGATCCCACAGGTCTGGCTAAACTTGGAGAAGAAAATACTTGCGTAAGTAATCTACACTGTGGATTTCATTGTTCTTCATTTCCATTTAAAATAAAGGCAAATGTGTGATTGGTCATTTGATGAATAAATCATAATAAATTTACATGTTAACAAATTTTAATGAAAGTTAGAATATACTGATTGGTAAAGGTTTTGTTTGTTCATTGCAGTGAGCGCTCAAAACACAGCATTCTGAAGTGGGAGACTGTCAAAAGCTTTGCCATAGATAATGGCATATTTGATGACAAAGATGTAAGTGATGAAAAAGTATTTTCAAAGTCAGTTTCTTGGAAATTGTTTCCATAGATCTTGCTAACTGAATTGTCTGTTTCATAAAAACAAAGAATATCTTAAACTTTTAATTTTTGAGGAAAATTAAAAATTAGCTATGGCACATTCAGATGATTAAGTTATAAGATCAGAGCATGTATTGAGTTAAATGTAAGTCTTTGAAATTTAAAAAAAGGGTGGTTAAATTATTTCTTGTCCATGTGATAAAGGTGAAGCAGGCAGTGAAGTTCCTTGACGACCTTGGAACACTACAGTACTTTGACAATGATTTTCTGCGAGACCGTGTTGTCATCAACCCTCAGTGGATCGTCAATGTCATGGCATGTGTGGTGTCTGTCAAACATTCCCTCATACAGGTATGTGTGTCATTTCCATACGCTTTCATATAGGTAGGCATCTAAGTGATTATCTATTGTATAGGTTCATGTTTTATATATATGTATACCTTTTCTATGACGGAAAGAGAAATAGAGGTATGTTGTTTTATTCTATGAGAATCAGTCTATTGGCTAGGAAGATTTTGAGTATAGTGTTATCCTGATAGAAACAAGAATTGGTATGTAAGTCAAGATGAGATGAAATAGACCACTACTAAAACTACTCGTTGTCTCCAGGAACACAATGGCCGATTTCTCCATGACCATATTGATCAGATCTGGAAGGATTATGACCAGGAATTACACAACTGGCTACTCAGACTGACTGAAGAGTTCGACTTGACCTTCCCTCTGCCTGGAAACCAGCGTACGAACATTGTGCCCTGTTTGCTACCCCAGGAGGAACCTGAAGAGGTATAGGACCTCTACCATAAACATTTTACATTTACCAGGGTTTTAAAGTCTGATGGGAGCGGAAATTCAGATTTTTTATCTCTCTAAATATTCTTAAAACAAAACAAAAAATTGTTTGTATGACATTTAAATGATGTTACATAAGTAATGTGTACTGGTATTAGAGCATAAACAAAATAACAATAAACCTAGCATAAGAAAAATTTCTAACCAAGTTGTATTTGTAGGGTTAGAGATGACTGGACAACTTCCGTCTGTGGATATCAGCAAAATTGATTAGTTGACAAGTTTCGACATACCTAATATGTCGCAATCAGAACAATGTAACAAGTTGTATTTTGTATACTTTGTTACAAAAGCATATTCTTACCTTTTGTTTAAACATTTGCTAATTGTTGTTGTCCCTTCTGTCACTGTTTATACCTTCATTGTATATCTGTCACTGTTTCTACCTTCATTGTATATCTATTTGACATTTGTAGATTGATTCTGATTTGTTTGTAGTTGAGCTGGCCTGACATTGATAAGAATACTGGAGTGAGAGAGAACAAGCTGGTTTATAAGTTTTCCTACCTCCCTGCTGGTCTCTTCAACAGGGCACAGGTATAAACTTCTAATTGACACTTCAACAAAGCATATACATTGTTACGTTTCAACGAGTTCTGCAAGATAAAAATTTACGCCAGTACCAGTGATTGCTAATACATTGACAGTAAAACTGACTTCAAAAACAACAGGGTTTGATATGCCATTTCATTTATAATTCAACAATTGAATACAGGTAAATAAATTGTAACATTCTAAAGAGCACAGGTAATATTCATTATTATGTTTCAATCTACACGATGTCATAGCCTCAGAGTTATTGTCTTATACCACCAGATCTGTGACTTATACCAGCAGAACTGATGACTCATGACAACAAAACTGATGACTGATAACAGCAAAACTGATGACTGATAACAGCAAAACTGATGACTCATGACAGTAGAACTGATGACTCATGCAACAAAAGTGATGACTCATTACAGTAGAACTGATGACTCATGACAGCAGACCTGATGACTCATAACAGCAAAACTGATGACTGATAACAGCAAAAATGACGACTCATAACAGCAGAACTGATGAGTCATGTTAGCAGAACTGTTTACTTATACCAACAGAACTGATGACACATGACAACAGAACTGATCACTCTTAACAGCAGAACTGATGATTCATAGCAACAAATCTGATGTAATAAAACTGATGACTTATAACCGCAGAACTTGATGACTTTTAACGGCAAACCTCAGACCAGAAACATTGATGACTGGTGACAATAAAATAGATCACTGTGATTTATCAATAAACCTAAGTTTCATTTCGGTCTAAAATCTGTAATAATCAATGAAGTAATACTTGCCATTGTTGTTTTGATGCTTATCTCATTGTCAAACATCTTTTGTTTTAGGTGAGATTGTTCCAGTTCTCTGACGGAAAAATTATCTGGAAGAAAGGCTCAATGCTTAACAAAAACAGACATTTAGCTTTAATACGACAGGAAAAGTGAGTTTCCTTCTTCATGTAGCTTGAGAGTTGAGCTAACTAGTAAAACGATCACAAACTAAGAATTTGATTCTTTAAAATAAGATATTAAAACAGATACAACGCAGCAATCTTAATGTTCCTGTTCAAATGTTTTCTGATTTACAATGAAATGCGTGTTTTTCTATAGTGACTCTGAGTTAATGGTACTGGTACAGGGACCCCAGCCAGAAAACATTCTACTGTTGATCCATGAGGTGTTCGAGAGTCTCATTGAGGAGTCCTTCCATGGAGTCATGTATGATTTCTTCATCCCCTGTCCTGACTGTATCAGCAAGGAGGTTCGTCTTATCACAACAGATCTTATGATAATAGAAAGTTTGTGAATTTTACCTAGTCCCAAACAGACCTTTATGGTAACAGAAATTTTGTGAGATTTACCTAGTCACAAACAGACCTTTATGGTAACAGAAATCTTGTGAGATTTACCTAGTCACAAACAGACCTTTATGGTAACAGAAATCTTGTGAGATTTACCTAGTGACAAACAGACCTTATACTTGAGATATTTTTACTTTAAGTTATGAAGACTGTAAGTCATTGTATGAATTATATTACAACTATTTGTAGAACTTAGAAACTTTATAATTTTCCATTTACCAAATCTGATAACTGGATAATTCCAAAAACACTATCCCACCTAGGTACTTAAGTCTTCTCTCATGTGACAATACAGGATAGTATTTGTAAAAAAAATTTTATTGTTGAACATATTTGTTCTTACAGGGAACAAGAGAGCCATGTCTGTTCAAAGGGGAGCTAATTCGGAGGGCAGGAGACCTCAAGGCTCCCTTTCTACAGTGTACAAAGTACTTCCATACTGTATCTATGGGGCAGCTACTTGGTAAGATACTATTGGGATTAACATTCATTTGTTTGGTTTTAAGAATATAACCATATTTACATTACAAACTAACTTTTAAGAGCTACCAGAATCACCTGGTTCTTTTTCAAGAATCAAATGCAAAGAAAACTATGCCATTCATATACAATCTAACACTTTTTGTAAATAAATTTATCTATTAAATATAGTCTTACATTAATGGCTTTTTTCCTGTATTATATGACCTACTTTGTTAAATCCACACACCTTCATGATAGATTTGATGACCTACTTTGATGATAGATTTGTTGACCTACATTGATGATAGATTTGTTGACCTACATTGATGATAGATTTGTTGACCTCCTTTGATGATAGATTTGTTGACCTCCTTTGATGATTGATTTGTTGACCTACTTTGATGATAGATTTGTTGACCTACATTGATGATAGATTTGTTGACCTACATTGATGATAGATTTGTTGACCTCCTTTGATGATTGATTTGTTGACCTACATTGATGATAGATTTGTTGACCTCCTTTGATGATAGATTTGTTGACCTCCTTTGATGATTGATTTGTTGACCTACATTGATGATAGATTTGTTGACCTCCTTTGATGATTGATTTGTTGACCTACATTGATGATAGATTTGTTGACCTCCTTTGATGATTGATTTGTTGACCTACTTTGATGATAGATTTGTTGACCTACTTTGATGATAGATTATTTGACCTACTTTTCTGTATTTTTCTTTAGAAATGATGCCTGAGGAACAAGATACTGATTTTGATATTCATCTACAGCACAGTATCTCAGCTCTACAGTCCCTGAACAAAAGTATGGAAAATGATGTGGCTATTCTCTACTGCAAGGCTGACCTTCCTAAAGGTGACACTTCAAAGGTTGATCCTGCCAAGATCAAAACCCACCTGGAGGAGTCAGGCTTGTCCTGGTAAATACTTAGGGTATTTCAGAACAACATCACTCTTGAAGTGGCTTTTCATACAAATTTTAGACATAAATGAAAAATTATTTAAACTTATCTATTATCAGTATTTTTAAAAATTCCAGTTTTGAATTAGCCCACCAAAGTAGAACATACTTGTAGATATGCTGTTTAAGATATGTATAATTTGTACGAAGGCATATTTTAATCTTCTCTAAATGCAGTCATACAGACCAAGCAACAATGTAAAACATTATTTTTCATGTTTGTCCTTTCATAATTGATATCTTCTATATGGCTTTATCCACATTTTCTATGAGATGCTGTGGCTAAAGATTTTAAATATTTACAGCTGGTATCCAAACATGGAAGAAGGTGCCAAACTGAATGACATGATGATGGCACTCAAAAACTGCAAGGTGAGAGATTTATTAGTATATAATAAAAATACATATTTATCATAACTATGTAAACAATACATAATTAATTACAATATTTTTCAATTCATGGTTAATTATCTACTGTGGTATGGTATTACTACAGTGTATATATAACCTTACCTAAGTCGGTTGTGTATTACCAGCTCATGAACTGCCATGGTGTAGGAATACTGCAAGTAATGTAAACAGGTTGAGGTGTAATGCCCTGAAAATTGAAAATGATCAATTTAAGCATTTTTTTTAGTTGGCACTTCTTGGCAATATAAATGCCATCTGGATAAAGACAAATTCATTAACAAATGCTGACTGAATTTGCCCTTATCTAGTTGGCATTCATAATGCCAATGACTGCCACCTGAAAGCAATTCAGTATATAAATATACTTGTGTTAATTATGTTATTAGAAAAGGATATTTATATCTGTATTATCTGTAATTTGATTCAGGAGTTATATAGTCGCATACAATATTTTTATAAAAATACACTGCAAATCTTCAAAAGCTGGAAAGAGGTATCATTCTCTATAGTTAATTTTTCAGAGTAGGTTAAAATAACTGTTTTTGTAATAGATACCATCTATTGATTCATTTCTATTCATCGTTAACTCTGTCTTTTATTTGGTATTGTTTGTTTATCAATATGCTATTTACTTACAGGTAATAGTGGGTGTTATGTCAGATGAGTTTGAGCGCGACCAGATGTGCAGCAATATGTTTCAGTATGCAATGGAAGGTCTTGCTAAACCATTCCACCTCGCCTGTGTAGGCACAAGTAAGGAGTGGCAAAAAACTGACCTGGGTATGAAGATAGGACAGCCAGTAAGTGTTACTTATGTTAGAGGACATCCAGTAAGTGTTACTTATGTTAGAGGACAGCCAGTAAGTGTTACTTATGTTAGAGGACAGTCAATAAGTGTTACTTATGTTAGAGGACAGACAGTAGGTGTTACTTATGTTAGAGGACAGACAATAAGTGTTACTTATGTTAGAGGACAGCCAATAAGTGTTACTTGTGTTAGACGACAGACAATAAGTGTTACTTATGTTAGAGGACAGTCAATAAGTGTTACTTATGTTAGAGGACAGTCAATAAGTGTTACTTATGTTAGGGGACAGCCAATAAGGGTTACTTATGTTAGGGGACAGCCAATAAGTGTTACTTATGTTAGAGGACAGCCAATAAGGGTTACTTATGTTAGAGGACAGCCAGTAAGTGTTACTTATGTTAGAGGACAGACAATAAGTGTTACTTATGTTAGAGGACAGACAATAAGTGTTACTTATGTTAGAGGACAGACAATAAGTGTTACTTATGTTAGAGGACAGCCAATAAGTGTTACTTATGTTAGAGGACAGCCAGTAAGTGTTACTTATGTTAGAGGACAGCCAGTAAGTGTTACTTATGTTAGAGGACAGCCAGTAAGTGTTACTTATGTTAGAGGACAGCCAGTAAGTGTGTTAGAGGACAGAGAGTTAGAGGACAGCCAGTAAGTGTTACATTGTCATGTAATTGTTTATTACCAATAAGGGTTACTTATGTTAGAGGACATATCAGTTGTTACATGTTGACACAGTTGTTACTTATAGAGATCACCAACACATTGTCCTGTAATTGTTTATTATCCCATCTTGACACAACACAGTTGTCCTGGTATGTGCTGAAACTAACACAGTTGTCCTGACATATCCCATCACCAACACAGTTGTTCTGTTATCCTTGATGTTAGACTCATATCAAATATTTTTCAATAATTTGTCTTTAAATTGAACCACAAATCTGATGTGAAGTTATATCTAATGTTCTCTAGAGAATGGCCATGATTCGCACAATAGATCGCTTTGACAACAAGATCAAAGACCTGCTGGAGATGGTTCATGAAACGGTGCAAGGCATAAATAATGTAAGTACAGGTAACAAACGTTCTAGCCACTACATTTTCAGTAAGGTTGATGTTATACCAGGTAGGGCCTCCTACTCACCATCTTCTTGGAATTTTCATGGAGATAGATGTTACTCACATTAAAAATTTCAAGCCTCAGAGTAAATGTTTTTGAAGTTGAAATGACCTAAGCCTCGCCAGTACTTCCTTATTATACCCCCCACAATGAAGTTAGAGGGAAATCCTGGAATCAGGTTGTCTGTCTGTTCGTCCATCTGTCTGTTTGTAGACATATCTTGTCCTGTCTGAACTCTCCTAAATTTGGGAATCAATTTTGATGAAACTTCATAGGAATATTAAGGACCATATGTAGATGTGCATGTAATTTTCCTTTTTATTAAAAATACTGTTTGCAATAGTAACATATCTTGTTATATTGTTCTTCATTTCTAAATATTGTAGAATGCCCTGGAATACCCTGTGTGTTTCATTAGTTACACTTGGGTTAACTCCCTTGCTGCAGTGAAGCTAGGCACAAAAGAACGTCCAGGGTCCCTAGGATACGGGGACCCCCGTGCTATCAAGGATTTCTTAGAGAAAAAAGGCATCAAGTGCTGGATTGACCATGAACAAATGAGCAAGGTATACACTTTCATGGTCTGGATAAAAGTTAGGCCTATTAACTGATTATCTAAATCACTGCAGAGTTCTATCAATTAGTCAAAAAACTAAATGGTGTTCACTCTGTTGATCAGTGTTAATCACTTCTGTGTAATAGAAATTGTCAAATTTCAACCCTTAATATGAGATAATTTGAAATGTAGTGCTTAGAAAACCTTTAAGCTAAACTTAAAGAAAAACTCTATTGTTTTAGCTGTATATGTAGATATACATTACATTTATGTGAAAGATTCTGTCACTTTTATCTCCTTACACACAAATGTACTAAATCATTACTTCATGAAAAAGGCAAATTTTTGTAACTTTGAGAGGTGATTTTTGATACATAATTCTGTTTATACCTGGTGTGGTCTGTTTCAGGCTGGTCTGTATCATGACATTGCAGTGGGGCTGCAGAACAGCCGTGTGATGGTCGCCTGTGTGTCTGACGAGGTAAGCATACTACTGCATTTTTTGACACAATGCTTATTGTTCTAGGCTGTATCATTTAAAACTTGTAGTCACACATATCTTGACTTCTTTAATTGTTTTTTGTAACAAAGAATGTGCTGTATTAAGCTTGACATTACTTTTGTTTTGTAGTATGTGATGTCTGAAGCCTGTATGATGGAGATTCGGTTTGGGGTTTGTACAATGAACCTGCCTCTCATTGTTGTAGTCGTGGGCACTGGGCAGAAGTGGAAACAATCTGAGGTAAGACATAGCCATTTTACAGCGATAGGTTTTTAGAAGCTATCTTTATACCTTTTGCAAGGGAGATGGGTAGGGTTGCGATGGTGATTGTCCAAGAGTTATTTCCCTTCTCTCAGTCATCAACAAATTTTTCAATATTTTAAAGTAATACTCTGCTGTAATTACAGACAGTTGTGTTGATAACAGTGAAGCAATGTAGTGATTATGATATACATACTTATCTCCTGATAGCCTTTTTATTTAGTATATATATCCATGTCATATTTTTAGGTATAACGTAGCTTAATATGACGTCACTTTTGACAATGAAATGACATCACACATTCACAGATGGCATTGTGATGTAGCAATGTAGACCAGAGATATAGAGCAGACATAACTTCAAATTTGATTTAGAAATGTCTGTTTTTTGCCATTTTTGCTTGAAAAATGGATCATGAAATAAATAGGATCTTGCATTTGTTTCAATTTAGGTTATGAAATGCTCACTAAAATGAATAATTTATTCCTAGACTGTTTTTGTAAATTCACATAACAAATGGAAACTCATGAAGAACTCTATTTATTGATGACAGACTGGTGACATATTTAGTGATCATGATATCTTTATTGGTAACAGATTGGTCTGCTCATGCGCCGGTCATCCGCTGGTGTCAATAAGGTATACATGCAGAAGGAAAACCCTGAGGCATGGGACACACTCCTTCAGTTTGTGAAGGACTCCATTTCAAAAGCCAGTGATATGAAGAATGAAAATGTCAACAAGAAGGAAACCAAAGTGAAGAAACAAAGCAAGAAATCTGAAGAAAACCAGCTGTCTTATAAGGTATCCCAGGATTTTATGTTGTATTATACATGTTTATGTGAAGTTGTGTCCCTGTGATGTTGTATTGTAGATGTTGTATCACTGTGATATTGTATTGTAAATGTTGTATCTCTGTGATGTTGTATTGTAGATGTTGTATCACTGTGATATTGTATTGTAGATGTTGTATCTCTGTGATGTTGTATTGTAGATGTTGTATTGTTTAGATGTTGTATCACTGTGATGTTGTATTGTAGATGTTGTATCACTGTGATGTTGTATTGTAGATGTTGTATTGTTTAGATGTTGTATCTCTGTGATGTTGTATTGTAAATGTTGTATCACTGTGATGTTGTATTGTAGATGTTGTATCACTGTGATGTTGTATTGTAGATGTTGTATCACTGTGATATTGTATTGTAGATGTTGTATCTCTGTGATGTTGTATTGTAGATGTTGTATCTCTGTGATGTTGTATCTCTGTGATGTTGTATTGTAGATGTTGTATCACTATGATGTTGTATTGTAGATGTTGTATCACTGTGATGTTGTATTGTAGATGTTGTATCTCTGTGATGTTGTATTGTAGATGTTGTATCTCTGTGATGTTGTATTGTAGATGTTGTATCTCTGTGATGTTGTATTGTAGATGTTGTATTGTTTAGATGTTGTATTGTAGATGTTGTATTGTTTAGATGTTGTATCTCTGTGATGTTGTATTGTAGATGTTGTATCTCTGTGATGTTGTATTGTATATGTTGTATTGTTTAGATGTTGTATCTCTGTGATGTTGTATTGTAGATGTTGTATCACTGTGATGTTGTATTGTAGATGTTGTATCTCTGTGATGTTGTATTGTAGATGTTGTATCACTGTGATGTTGTATTGTAGATATTGTGTCCCTGTGATGTTGTATTGTATTGTAGATGTTGTCCCTGTGATGTTGTATGTTGTAGATGTTGTATTGTAGATGTTGTATCACTGTGATGTTGTATTGTAGATGTTGTGTCCCTGTGATGTTGTATTGTAGATGTTGTATTGTAGATGTTGTATCACTGTGATGTTGTATTGTAGATGTTGTATCACTGTGATGTTGTATTGTAGATATTGTGTCCCTGTGATGTTGTATTGTAGATGTTGTATTGTAGATGTTGTATCACTGTGATGTTGTATTGTAGATGTTGTATCACTGTGATGTTGTATTGTAGATGTTGTGTCCCTGTGATGTTGTATTGTAGATGTTGTATTGTAGATGTTGTATCTCTGTGATGTTGTATTGTAGATGTTGTATCTCTGTGATGTTGTATTGTAGATGTTGTATCACTGTGATGTTGTATCTCTGTGATGTTGTATTGTAGATGTTGTATCTCTGTGATGTTGTATTGTAGATGTTGTGTCCCTGTGATGTTGTGTCCCTGTGATGTTGTATTGTAGATGTTGTGTCCCTGTGATGTTGTATTGTAGATGTTGTGTCCCTGTGATGTTGTATTGTAGATGTTGTATCACTGTGATGTTGTATCTCTGTGATGTTGTATTGCAGATGTTGTATTGTAGATGTTGTATCACTATGATATTGTATTGTAGATGTTGTATCTCTGTGATGTTGTATTGTAGATATTGTATTGTAGATGTTGTATCACTATGATATTGTATTGTAGATGTTGTATCACTGTGATGTTGTATTGTAGATGTTGTATCAACATGATGTTGTATTGTATCAAAATACTTTAATTGCCATATTGATGAATAAATTTTGTGATTAGTATATGTATGAAAAAATCTGTGTTGTACCAGTAAAATAAACACATGATTTAGTATTCCTGATGAATAAGATTGGCAAAATGAGAATAATAAAAAAAGAAATGGCTGAGTCTGCCACCTTCAAGTAAATTTCATCAGTAATTTTTTAACTTTGATTCTTCCTTGGAATTTGGTTTTGGGAATTTAGAAAATATAGATATTTGTCTGTTGTACGTGAATCATTGGTTTGAACTTAAAATGATCTCTTCTTTCACTTTGCCTGTATATTACAGGAGGAATATGAATTAATACAGAGGAAATTTATGCGACACATTACCAACATGATTAACCAGCTTGATCTGCCATTACTACCAAGACTTCTGGTTTTTGACTTCCTCAAGGTATCAGGTAAGTAAATTTCTATATTTCTCTCTGTTGAGGGTCAGATGTTGCACCAAACAGTATGCTTGCCTTTTATTAGAAAACTTGTATACTTGTTAAATTGATTAAATGAGAAAGAAGGGGTTTTTTGCGGGAGAATGTTTAATTTCCAGCATCCACTCCAATTGAAATATTCCATGCTATACCATTAAGGGTAACCAGAGTCATATAATTATGTAAAATTTGTGCTGTTTCATAGTATTTTTCCTTACAGATACACATGATTTAATTTGAGTTTTATTTGTTTACTTATGTATATTTTTATCAAGCTATGAAAAGAACTGAGTCACACGCAGACCCTGATGCAAATAACCGCCCTGTCTCCTCCAAACGAAGGGTAGTCTCTAAGGAGATGAGTGTTGTAAAGATGAAGGTAAGGTTATACAATTTTCAGTAAATATGGTCAGGTAAGTTTGGGTTCATGGTGTGTTGTGTGTTTTTTGTCAAAATTTTCTTTGAGAATTTCTGGGTGTGATGTCTTGATCCTGACTTCCAGGTATTACAAAATACAAGTCTTCCTTGATATCACATGACTCTGTGCATCATTGTAAAAGATGCATTGGCTTATACAAGATGATAGAGGTGTGTTATGCAGGTTAATATTCAATGTAGGAAAAGACAGGTGTCACTGTAATATGATATGTAAATATAGACAGGTGTCACTCATTTATGATATGTAAATATAGACAGGTGTCACTGATATATCATAAAGAGGAGATGGCAATACTGTTATATAATACATAGAAGATATCAGGTGTTACAGTATTATAATATGTAGGATTAGACAGGTGTCACTGTGATATGATATGTAAATATAGACAGTTGTTTCCGATATATGATATGTAAACATAGACAGGTGTCACTGTTATATCACACATAGGAGATGACAGGTGTCACAGTATTATGATATGTAGGAGTAGACAGGTGTCACTGTGATATGATATAGAGAGGTAGACTGGTGTCACCATAATCCTATGTAGAAGTAGCTAGATGTCTTTGTAATGTATACAGGAGTAAGAAGACATGTGTCACTGTAATATTATGTTTGAGTAGACAGGTGTCAATTTGATATGGTATATAGGAGTAGACAGGTATTACTGAAATATAACATGTAGGAGAAGACAGGTGTCATGTAATATGATATTTAGAAGTAAATATGTGTCATTTGCAAAATGTTATGTAGGAGTAGACAAGTGTCACTAATATGGTGTATAGTAGATAGGGTCACTGTAATATAACATGTATGAGTTTACAAGTTTTACTGTCACTGTATATGATACATAAGAACAGATGTGTCGCTATAACCTGTATTAATTTGTACTTACAGCCAGTGGTAGTGGACACAGACCAGGACGAGTGGGAGGAGGAAGAGATGTGTATACGAGTCCTGTGTGAACATGAGGAGGTCTGTATTGCTTTACTGTATTACATGATTCTATCCAGTTGAATGAGTTATATAACCTACCATTGTGTGTATACAATGAAATTATAACATTGTTGTCATAAAGGGGAATACAGATAGAAGGGAAAAGGATTCATATAGGATACTGTATAACTGATTTATGTTGTAAAGTGACCTTTATATTAACCTAACTGATATGTGTTTGTAGGGATGGCATCTACTGGGCAAACCTTTGACTCTCAAGACAAGGACAGACGAGGAAATAGAAAATTGTCTGTCCACAACAGCACCATATTTAACTCGCATTTATGCTATCCTACGCCAAAGCTCCATGAGACTCAACTGTCTAAACAGCAAGAGTGGAGAGAAGTTCGGAAACTGGCTTGATGACAAACGAGAGTCCATGGAAAAGGTAACTGCTAGTATATATACCGTATTTTCCAGGTTATAAACCGCACCGGTATATAAAATGCAAAGTCAATTTATACAGATTTTTTCTATTTGATCCACACCAGAATATAAGCTGCACCCTTTCTTACGAAGTGGTAACTGTTACATTGACCATATATGTTAAACTATTTATGGTACCAGAGTGTTCAAAAAGGAAATTAACTGTGAAATTATCAACCTGAGTAAAACATTATTACAGAAAACAACAGACAATCTAGTTCAAATTAACATGTTCTGCTTGTGATTTCAGGAAACAAAATCAAGCATAACCTTCCTTCAGGCATACATGACGCTGGTCACTGGTCAAATATGTAAGCTTTATAAAAGTCTATTGCAGCTGTGTATCTTTAGAGGACTGAATCATTGTAGCAGTGTTGAGCTACTTTATAGAACAACTAAAGGACAGGTATGTAAAAAGCAGGTGTTTTATAAAAGTCTGTTTATATATTGCAGCTGTGTTTTTTATATCTTTATCTTTGCCTTTTTGCTGCATTTTCATTTCAGAAACCTACCCGTTTTTGTGTTTCTATCTCATCTATTTGATTTTTTTATTAATTTCTTTACAAATACACAGATTTCAATCACATACTGCATTATTTTGATTGAAAGACATTACAACACAAAGAGATGGCTGTTCCACTTAAGAACCTTCAAGGCCAATAAGATTTTTTTTTCTTGTTTGTAGTCTTGTACGCCAATGATTATAAATCTGAACAAATAATGGTTCAATGCTAAAATTTATAAGTTGTTCTGGCTTTCATTACATAGCTGTTTATATATAAGATACATAAACAGCATTGTTTAGTTGTGAGCACTGTGGTGTCATTGTTGATATTATCTGTTGTTTGGAACTGTGAACTACCATTAATTATTCTGATTATTGTCTTCTTGTTTGTTATGTCGTTAGAATCATATTGGTTTTGTTATAAAAACGTTAAAAACTTTAAAAACTGTCTAACTTCCCAGTTAATAGATATCTGTTTCTCCTTTGTGTACAGGTGTCACCTTCCAAGTGGTAAAATTTCCTGGCTGTGCAAGACCCATCAGAAAGGAAACCGAATCACCAAACTGGCTTCAGGGGAGGGAAGCAAGGGTGGTGGAGGCAAGAACACGTTATTTAGAGAAGATGTACTGTTTAAGGAATTCCTGGACAATGATCCAGAGTACCGGAAGATGATTCAGGAAATAAACCTGAAAGCAACTCGGGAACGGACCATGATGATGGAGAGAGAGAAAACTCTAGGTATAACAAGTGTGTTTTATATTTTAGCCCAGCACTGACATCAGCACAACACTAACATACATACTTACGCCTGATGATTTCTTACAAACTGGTTTACAAAATCTTAACACTTTTGTAAAGTAGTTTTTATGTGAATATAAAATCACAAATGTATAGAATCACTTAAACATTTAGACAGCTAAGAAGACATCCCAAATGATACAAAAATACTCACATGAAATAAGTTAGGTTTACATTTCCATTGTAGAGCTATAAATACATTTGTATTTGCAATTAGCTTATTAGAACACACTAGATTATAAAATTTTATCAAATATTTGCATGTTTGGTCACTTCAATTAGCCCAACCAAATCCTTTATGATTTTATTTGGTCTGGAGCATCCTTAGTAAAAAAGGATTCAATTTTGTATAAAGGGTGTGTCTGAGTCCCGTTAACCTGAGGGGCTGAGGTGAATTTAGTGGTGCAGCATGGCCTGTAAAACTAATAGAGTTCTTGTTAGTATCAGTTTTAAAGTTCACACAAATGTAGGTGATTTCTGTATGTCTTATACATCAAAAGTATTATACATAATACACTATGTATTCATACACACAAACTCTTCATTGAAATACCAATGTTCAAAGAATGAAGTGTCAGCTGAGATCTGTTTCAATTTGTCTCACTAGGTGTTAAGGAGAAGAAGGACGAGAAAGAAAAGAGTAACGAAAAAGACAGCAAAGACAAGAACAGCAAGGACAAGAACAGCAAAGACAAGGATGTGAAAACTGAAAGTATGTCAAAGACAGAAAATTCCAAGAAGGCAGCTCAGACTTTCAGGGCAGCAAAGGATGTTGTTGTTTTAACAAACCAGGCTTCGAAACGCTCCAGTAACGTGTGCTCGCTACAGTGAGTGTGACGCACACATCACTATATAACGTAGCTAGCTAAGCCCATGAGTTGTGTTTATTAGATTGGTAAACACAAAACCCCACATGCAGTCTCACTAATTGTGTGTGACAGAATCCCCACGAGAAATGTGATATGAAAAACACTTGAATATTGTATGCTTGTAGAAATTAGTGTCACACCAACATTGAGTACACAGCAGAGATTGTGAGTGTTACAAACTTTGCTCACAAGTTATAAAATAATGTGTTCACAAATTAAAATGTGACATATATATATATATATACTTGGCCTGTGTTTCATGTTTGAATCAAAGACCACTAAGTGAAATGCTGGTACGTGTGTTATGTTTGTCACACATAAAGACACATAGAATCAAAGAGTTCTCCTGCCCTAGCCATGTGATCAAGGTCAGTGGTAATGAGACATTGGTCTTGGTAGTGGAAGTATTAAATGAAGTCTTTTGTTGAATCAATAAATGCACTGTATCACATATTCCAGATCAGAGAGAATCTGATAAACAGAACAATTTACTCTTGTCTGTTTTATTATATCACCGATTATTAAATTGTACGAAAATTGTTGAGTCATGATTGTGTAATTGTTTTAAAATATTGTACTTTAACTTGACTTAGTAGCATGTCTTTACATACTATCTTATCTTTACAGGTAAAGAAAATGGGCAGACCAGCATACCAATGTCACCAAGTTCTAGTGAAAAGTCCCTCCAAAGTCGCAAGCTGAAAGCTGCAGGAACTGCAGCCAGACTGACAAAGAAGCCGAGTAGTACTGGTAGACCAGGTAGTCGAGCATGCTCAATTCAGTAAATACAGTGAGACCAATCGAACACATGCCATTCTGTATACATAAGGATATTCATAAGGAGTTTTAGAAGTGGACCTACCAGACTTCTTTAACTGTCCTGCATGCAGAAAAAAAGGGGCAGATAACTCTTGCAAAACTATTCATAAGAAATAATATGTGTGCAGACTTCATCAATTGGAAACCATTTGGAAATTATTCCATGAATTTATCTAATATTCACATGTTGTGCATCTTAATGTTTTTTTACCATGGGGGAAACACTCTGTTGTGATACAAGATTAGCAACAGAATGACAAACTGATAGTAGATGTCTTAGTTTGTTTTGTTTTATTTGATACCATACCTGTAAAAAGGTTTGTGATGGGCCATAATTTGAAGAACTTGTTGTACTCAAGACACTATTGTTTATAACTATTTTTTACATGTTTGAAAGCCCAGCTGCTAATTGTTAAGATGTCAATTAACTATAACTTTAATAGTGAAATGATTTACATTATACACTTTTCCATAATGTAGTTGAAAATAGATTTATCATAAAATAGCTTACATAGTATCTGTATAGCATATTATATACCATTATACCACAATTTTGTCAAGGTAATATACATTCTGTTGAAAAATACAGTCCTATGTTGGAAGGAAATATTTAGATGTATTTGTCTCTCACTGGAATAAAGGGAGGCATTGTATGAGTACTTTTTCTTCATGTTGAACTTGTAATCAATAGATAATTATAAAATGTGATCAATGATGACACATCTTATCAGTGCTTTTTCTTCTTGTTAAACTTGTCGTTGTTAAGATGAAATATGATCTGCAATGAAGTAGCTGGGTTGTGTAACCTAAATTACACACAGTTACTGAGTTTTATCTACAGGGCTGGTCTGAAGGATGTCTTAGCACTGAAGACTTGTTTCGTTAGACTATGTGTAACACATGACATGATTTTGATGTTTAATGTGCTGTTTTCTGCTGATAGCTGTTTTGGTATATTATGGTAGATTTTTTCTATGTTTTTAATATCACCTGGTTTCCTCACAGGGATACCGATGGATGGCATAAGTTTTGTGCTGTGTAGTTGAATTTCACAAGGCTTGTTCAATGCTTTGAGGGGCTTCAAAGGCAGATAAGCAATGGTTGATTCTGCTCCAAAGCAAGAAAAATGTTGAAATATTGGGGATGTTTCGATTTTTATGAAGAGTCCATCCACAAATCATATTAAGGTCAGACGATGATTCGTAAATTCTAATTTATCCGTCCATATTTGTGACTCTAGTCTGATATATGTATCATTGACTTTCCCCAATATTTAACACAATTGGGGATGATGTTATGAGCCCATCAGCAAACTTTGGATGAAAACAGAATTTCTGATAAGTTGTAGTATTATCAGTGAAAATGGAAATTAGTGAATGTTCTTGTCTTCCCAAGTTTGGGAAGTACCTCATTATCTTCCCACTACACAGGCCACCTGCTTTTATTATAACTTAAATACATTATCATTAATACATCCATAATTACTCCACAGAAGCATCTTAAATTTTTTTGTGTATTAAACATGCTTAATGTCTGCTATTATGGCCTTTTGGCCTTTCATCAGATAAGGAAAGTTAGGAAAGTGAGTAGAAATGAAAATGTAGTAAGTCAAAGTTTTAGTGGAAGAAAGAAGGTGAAATAAAGATGGAGTTGACTGTAACGGTGTTCCTATGACCCGACGCCATATTTTAAAGGTCGACTCCATGACCTTATATTGTCTTAACTTAACTCTGACAAGAGTTAACCACCTTAAACTATGTGACATACTGGCCACATAAAGCACTGCTTCGGTACTTTTATGGGAATAGTGTAACCGATGTCATTTCATCCTGTTTGTAATCAAATTACATCATTCATATTGTCTGTTTGGCTAAATGAAGTATAAAACGATAGTGTATTTCACTTGTAAACACTTTTTATTGATATTTAATTTGTCAATATTTATGTATTTATTTTCGGACCAATATAAAAAGCATTTATATTTTCTACTTTCTTTTTATCAAAACTGTACATATATATGTTATGCCTTACCTACTTATATATTTATATATATATATTTTTTTTTTTTTTTTTATTTTCACAAGATCATTTACACTTCTTTGCGGAATTTACTTAATGTTATCCCCACCTTACTACCGTGGTTTTTTTTTTTTAATACTTCAAAGGGTATTTATTTTATTTTTTATTTTGTAAATGTCAAAGATTAATGGTAGAAGAACTGATATATTGTGATATTACATTATTTATTCTGCAATAAGCCTGAAGGGACAGCACATTATCTAGAACACAAAGTTAGGTGGTGGGCTTATCATAGGACAATTTCTCACTAAGAGGTGGGGCTTATTACAGGACAATTTCTGATCCAAGGTAAGAAGGTGGGCTTATTATTGGACAATAAATTACTGTTTGTTTGTAGTTCCACTGAATGGTAATAGATATAGGTGGACTAATTGCTAGATATGGGCTTATTCCAGGGTAAACAATGTTGAGATTGTACTTAAAGTAACAGTGATCCTTTCTTGGAGCTGGAGATATATTGTGGGAGTGAGAGGTCCAGAGTTCCATAATGTAATGGTTTCTTTGTTGATCTACCACAGCCAAAGTACCAGATTAACAATGTGCATTTAGTCCCTGATGTTTCCTTATCTTGTTTCTTGGTTTTATTTTTGACAATCACTTTAGTTCTATGTTATTTTTAAGTATCTAAGTTTTGTTTGTATATATGACCTATGGAAGGTTATCAGTCATTTACATTTTTCTTACACAGGGTAAATACCTTTATTTTTCTGTTTTCAACTCCTTTTATTTTTGTTTTCACTTTTTGTTTTTCTGGTTTCACGTTTTATTTTTCTGTTTTCTTTTAATGATATCCCCCTGTAAATACTTTGTCTTTTTTTACTAGTTTTCTAGAGTGCAATGTTTACATGTTATTTTCTCATTTCTATTGATTTTTATTATTCATTTAACATAAATACTAAGTAATGTCTATAACATGTACTCTTAATGCCTTATCCAGTGAGCTGTCATGGTACATGTTTTATTGTTGATGTGAACGAATCGATTTTACAGACTAACATATATACCTTAAGTGCTCAGTGTAATGGTATATGTAGCCTAGTTTACTGTTTACAAAGCTGTGTTAATATTATCAGTTAGAAATAAGATATAAAGATATATTTTAATGGCATCATGTCATTCCATATCATTATGTGTATAGAAATTCTTTTATTTACATTCTCACTGTCTGAATGCTGGTAATTATACATCATAATTGTTCCTTGAGCTACGGCATTTACAGTCTAACAAATGCCATTTCTCTCTTGTTAGTGTACTTTATTTGTACTTTATCCGTCCCTAATCTCCTGTAGTTTTTGCATTCTGATCCTTCAAAAACCATTTTATATTACTTAAACTATTTTGCTTTGATATTTTTACAACGGTACAATCTGAATGGAAATTGTTTAATACTAATCTTCTCCATATACGAAATAGTCAATATATGATTGGTTAGATTCATATAGGTTGTACATGTTACATGTTATTTCCTCATTTCTATTGATTTTTATTATTCATTTAAAATAATAAATGGAAATGAATGATTTGTGAAACTAGTGATAAGTTATTCTCTAGGTTGTACTTTGTGGAAATGAATTATATCAGTGCTCAGAAAGAACTGTCCTTATGAATTGGCAGATTTGTGAGAAATCGTCCTAAATGTTATGTTGCATAATTTAAACTTTCTTGAATATTATTTTCATAGGTATGTACCATCAACATGGTAACTTGCGATTGTGAAACTGAATTATGTCCACATAAAGACTATATTGACTGTAAAATGGAGCACACAGAATATAGGAATATATCGTAACCTACGAGTACATGTGACAGAGCTTCAGTTCATTGGGAAAGGGAACATTTTTCAGCTTTCGATTATCATAGATAACTACCGTAATCCATATTTAATCATAGATATATATGATAACATACTCCATAGACTAAATAGTCAATAAATGATCGGTTAGATATATATAGAGGTTGTACTTTGTGGCATTGTATGATTCGTGAAAATATGTATACGGTATGTATGTACTACACAACTAACGAAGACCAACACACTGTGATAAAACAGCTATTTATCATATACTATTTTAAATAATTTGCTCAACTTGTGTGTCTTGTCTAATTCGTACCTCAAATTTTCGCTTTTTTTTTTTTTTTTATTTTACAATTTTGATGTCTTGTTTTCATAACTGTTTCTACAACATTGGAAAAGGGCAACTTCAGTTTACATCTGTGTACATGTAGTACTGTGATATTTGCAATAACAACATTCTTTTATCTGTAAAATCAGGTTTCTTTGTGTTGATGATACAGAATATCATCATATACATGTTTCCATGGAAAGTGGTAGCATTTACAATATACACATGTCTATATTTTTTTGTATTTTATATTTAATTCTTTAACTTGTGGTATTAATTATAATATATATATATTGAACTTTTAATTACTGTAAACAATATTCTTTGTTGATTTAACAGTCACGCTCTGTTTGTTTACATGACTAATGCATGCTATATTGAGTCTATTTCTACATTGAAGAATTATGTTTACAGTGAAAACCAGTGCACAGTTCTGATTCCTATAAAAAGATGGCTGCGACTACAGAAACAGTATATATTACTAAACTATATTAATTTTTTGAGATTTTCGTACTTTTCACGTCTTTCATTTCAGAATATTTATTTTATGGATACATTAAAAGTTGGACATCTCCCTGTGTTGTGGATGATGGAGATTGTGATGTCAGATACATCAGTAAAAATAGTAGTATAAATATGTGATAAAACAGCTATTTATCATATACTATTTTAAATAATTTGCTCAACTTGTGTGTCTTGTTTAATTCATACCTTAAATTTTTGGCATTTTTTTTTTTCATTTTACAATTCAGTAGAATTCAGTAGAAATAGTATAAATATGTCATTTTTCTCATGTTTTTATATTCATATACATTGTACTGGGTTTTAAAT